ACATGGAATCTTTGGCTGCCATGGGTCTACGTGTTTTGGCGCTCGCAAGCAAAGAGTACGAGGGCCCATCACCTGAAAAGGGCGAGGAGCTTGACCGTGAGAGCATCGAGAATGGTTTGACCTTCCGCGGTCTTGTTGGACTGTACGACCCGCCCCGCCCCGAGACCGCCGGCTCCGTTCGTCAATGCCAGAAGGCTGGTATCGAAGTCCACATGCTTACTGGTGATCACCCTGGTACCGCTCGCGCAATCGCTATTGAAGTCGGCATCGTACCATCGAACATGAACACTCTTCCCAAGGAAACCGCAGACGCCATGGTCATGACTGCATCGCAGTTTGACAAGCTCACCGACGACGAAATCGACGCACTTCCCCTACTTCCTCTTGTCATTGCTCGATGCGCCCCGAACACCAAGGTCCGTATGATCGACGCCCTCCACCGACGCAAGGCCTTCACTGGTATGACTGGTGACGGTGTGAACGACTCCCCGTCCCTCAAGCGCTCGGATGTTGGTATTGGTATGGGAACTGGATCCGATGTTGCCAAGGACGCTTCCGACATTGTTTTGACCGATGACAACTTCGCCTCTATCCTGAACGCTATCGAGGAGGGTCGCCGCATGTTCGACAATATCCAAAAGTTCATTCTCCATCTACTCGCTCAGAACATTGCGCAAGCCTGCGTTCTGCTCATCGGTCTCGCCTTCAAGGATGAGAGCGGACTCTCAGTCTTCCCAGTGTCTCCCGTCGAAGTCATGTGGATCATCATGATTACCTCCTCTCTTCCCGACATGGGTCTCGGCTTCGAGGTCGCTGCACCAGACATTCTCACTCGCCCACCTCAAAATGTAAGTTTCCTTTGCTGTGACTCACTCTTTGCATATATGCTAATAAATCGCAGCTCAAGCGCGGTGTTTTCACCATCGAGGTCATCCTCGACATGTTCGTTTACGGTCTTTGGATTGCCGCTCTCTGTCTCGGCGCGTTCTCCCTGGTCATGTTTGGCTTCGGTGATGGCAACCTCGGAAACGGCTGCAACGAATCGTTCAACGACACTTGCGACACTGTCTTCCGCGCTCGTGCGACCACCTTTGCCTGCCTTACCTGGTTCTCCGTCTTCCTGGCATGGCAAATGTTGGACATGCGCCGCTCGTTCTTCATGATGCAGCCCAACTCCAAGAAGTACTTCACGCAGTGGGCCATTGACGTCTGGCGCAACAAGTTCCTCTTCTTCTCCATCGTCTTTGCCTTCGTCACCATCTTCCCTGTCCTGTATATCCCCGTCATCAACGACACCGTCTTCAGGCACAAGGGTATCAGCTGGGAATGGGCGATTGTCTTCGTCGCTACCTTCCTGTTCTTCCTCGGCATCGAGTCCTGGAAGTGGGGCAAGCGTGTGTACTTCAGGAAGCGCGATGCTAAGAATGGCGTTGCCAGGAGGGGCTCCGTCGATCTGGAGTCGCGCGTGTTTGAGCGATACCTCAGCACAGCTATCAGCACTGACGGCGAGGATGGCGAGAAGAAGTCAGGTGCATGAGCAAAGCAATGACACGAAGAAGTATGATATCTTTCGAGTAATCTCTTTGAGAGCTCTTAATGTTTAGGGCCAGGCTTGGTCCTGGATAAGGCGTTTGAAGTTGTTTGCATAGCCCGCGATCGCGATACCTCTTGCCATCATGGCTGCGATGAAAAGGCTGTTATAGTCACACAGCATGTACATAGTAATCTAGATACCACAACGAACAGAGTAACGAAGTTTTACCACTCACATCCATATTTTCATATTGCCTGCATTTGACTGTAAGATTCACTTAGAGTTTGATGGGTAATGTCATCGCAGCAGCACAGGACATGCACCCTGACACGACTCCGCCCGCACATCCACCACATACCAACAACCTAAAGTATAATCTACGATCGATGCAATCACATCACCACGAGACGAGTGCAACCACAAGTCCACCTCGACACGAGTCACTTACAGTCTTCAGGCGTCCTTCCCTCAAAGTCTGTTCAAAGGCTTGCGCAACACGCAGCCCGCCCGCCCCACAAAATCCCCACAGCCTGCCCACTCCGCCATGGCATGCCAAACCTTTCCGCTCCACTCACACCAAGACCGAGACAGTGCGTCCTGCCTCGGCGCCTAGACCGCACCAAGGATTTAGCGCGTTGGTGGAGTACGTCAGCCCAGGGATGCAGCTCCAGCAGTAGTCTTGGAAATGGCCTGAGCAGGCCGAAAATGGTTGTGCCGATGAGCGGCTGGGGGATCGTGAGGCGTGCGTATTGGGGAAGGGCGGGCTAGGGCTCTGATGGAAATTGAGATGGGAGTACTCCGAGGATAGGTGCAGCGATGTTGGGGACGATAGGCTTTATTGCTTGATCCTGCTTTTTCCCGTTTCCCGCTGTCCTTGTGTTTGCTTCCTCCATCATCGTTCGCTACCAACCCCGGTATTGCTGACGATGATGCAAACCAGCGTTCAGCCCAACCAACTCGACCAATTCACACACACGCAACATCCGACAAGTCTATCGGACCGTGATAAGGATGGATAAGCTGCAGCTCGGCGTTTTCCAGCCGTCCCCATCACGCATCTAGAACGCCGAGCCAAGCTTCCTTGAGCGTAATCAAGAAGTGGCGAAAAAAGACGTGGCTGTGGAGGCTGAGCGCGTGGATGCAGGTGTCATAGGAACCCGCGACAGCGCTCGGGTAAGTGGGCCTCCGGGGTAAGATGGGGGATGCTAACAAGTGTTAAGAAGTGAGCACTACGCACATCTTGTTTGCGTGATCTTGAAACCTTCTGTACGGCCGCGGAAACACATCATTCCATCACTTCGACATACACGGACGCACGCATACGATAGACGCAAGGACCTGCGATTTGTACGCGCAATCGTGCCTCGCTGGTTTTGCCGGTATACCCGCGCTGTTCTTCCGCTGTTCCCCCGTCATCGCTGATCCTACCACGCCTACGTTTGGCCTCTTCCCCGCACCAGAAGTGTCGAGGTCGAGACGCATTCCTTCCCCTCCCCAGCTACCAAGCTTGAGCTGCCTGCATTCCCCCACACACGTCAGTCGAACCAAGCCAACGCTGCTGCACCCGCATTCTTTGAAAGTTTGGAAACAACAATGCCTGCGGTTTCGAGCCATGGTTTTGTTCGCAGTCTGGAAGCGCGCGAATGGCGCGATACTGTTGGGCAGTCTGGAATGACGCCTACGGCGTTTAGTTTTTTGATTCCCGTGTTTGTTGTTGCTATTGTGGCGCCTTTGTAAGTTTTGCTCGGAATTCTTTTTGGACTCTTGTAAGGAACGGGGTCTTATGAGACTGGGATGGCTGGGGAAAGAATTGGGCTAATGGTTCTTGATATAGTTTGTGTATATTCTGCATTCGGAGAAAACGACAAACTGTTCCTGTTCCAGTGCGCCGCCCGCTACCAAAAGCAAAGAAGCCTGCCCTTAGGCGTGCGGAGGCGAGGGAGAAGTTGAATGAAGTCACCGAGGTGGTGAGTCTTGCTGGATCCTCGTCATCACAACATCGTGATGGCGCGGACGACGACAACGAGGGAGCGCTTGGGGTAGTAGAGACACGCTCGGTGCTCGAACGAGAATGGTAAGTTTGAACGCACGACAACACCCATTCCGACTTCAGTACTAATGTCCCTCACAGCGCGATATGTCTCTCAACCCTCCACGCCCCCGCCCCACCGGAGCCCGCCAAACTCTCCCCAGAAACACCCATAACCGATGCCGCGGCCCTACCCGCCTCGCTCCCCCAATCCACAGACCCCTCAACAACACTATCATCCTCTGATCCCTCCGACCCAACCACCACCACCACCGCAACCCCCACCCCCGACTCCCAAACCATCCTCAAGCTCCTCGTCTGCAGCCACGAATTTCACGCCGACTGCCTCGTCTCCTGGTTTGTCCTGCGCAAGACCAGCTGTCCGATATGCCGCTCCATGTACATGAGCAAGGAAGCCCTCGATCAGCACGATGAGGAGGAGAGGATTGCGCTGGGTGGCGATGCGACGCCTGCGGCGTTGGAAGCAGGGACTGCGAATCAGACACCGGCGCCGCTGCCTATGAGTAATTGGCAGTACTTCTTGCATGGGAGTGGGATCAGGAGACAGCAGGTTGTTGAGGCGAGGACGAATGCTCAGGCTCAAGCGCAGGCGGATGCTCAGCCTGCGGTGGAGTTGCAGGATCGTACGCCGCAGACGGGGGAGCAGAGTGATGATGCGAATGATACTGCGGCTGCGGCTGCGGGTCCGGCGGACACGGCCGTGCAGCAGCCAGATCAGCCGTCTAGGTCAAGGTGGCAGAGACTTTTGAGGCGGTAAGCAGTACGTGATATGAGATGGTTTGATTGAAGTGATGGCGTTCGTCTCTTGGAGCTTTAAAAAAAAAAAGAAAGCCTTCAAGAGACGAACGTCATCACTTCAATCAAACCATCTCGTATGACGACTTCGGCATGTTGAGATGATTTCACGGTCATGGGTATGCATAGTACAGCCTGTTTTCCTTTTCGAGATACCCACTGGACGCATCATGGCGTTTCTTTCACGATTGAATGAAGACAATTATCATCATGCTTTTACCCCTTCTATGAGCGTCGTTCCAGGCCGAATCCGATCGTTCATTAACGAAGCTGGCTTTTGACTCGCATCTCCTTACGCGCGAGTTCAAAATCATTTTCTATACAGTCTATCCCATAGTAGCGCGATAACCCATGGACGGTGCGCTTCCACCTCATACAAGAAAAAACTGAACAGGTCTAGAGCCTACATCGACGCTAGGTCATCTATCTAGTAGGTTTACATGTTGACGTAGGCTGCAGACCTGTTCGGATTTTTTCTCGATTGACGTGCTTCCAATGACACAAACAGTATCGGGACCCGCCCCCAGCGAGAGAGATCAAAACCCACGGTGAAGCCAAGGACAAACTTGTTGGTACCATGTATTAGAAACGGAACCCCCTCAGATCCTATACACTCCCCGCTCAAGACCCGAACCAGAAGTCGTTTTCACTCTGCGTTACAGGATCGAAGGAGCCATTGCCGGCCGTTACAAGGCCCTCGAACTGTCCCCAGCTAGCGAAGTCGGACCAGTCGAGTAGATCGAACGAGAACGTTGGGTTAGTCGCGTTGTTATTAGTGTTATTGAATACTGCTGCGCTGTCGGAGATGTCGATGTTACTGTTGTTGCTGCTGTACATCAGAGGTGGAAGATTCGCCGCAGGCGCGACGGAATCGGGGTTGGGCGTCGACATTGGTAATGAGAGGAGCGATGTGTCCTGGAAGCTGGCATTGTCGGCTACTGGTGTCGATAGTCTGCCTGACTGGCGTACTGCCTCGGTCCTAAGCTCTTCCAATACGACACAATAACGATGTGCGAGGCAGTCGGTATCACTGACTGTCTCCAGTTGTCTCTGACATTTGACACCAGCTTCGAAATATCCCTCGCACTCTACTTTGGTCTTCACACCCAGGCCTTGCTGAATGCGATGGATGTACAGCACTACCACCGCACAGAAAGCGTAGTACTGGGTGAACCAGAAAGAGCGGAAGAGGTTAGACGCCTTGAACACGTCATCTACCGAACGTACAATAGACATGGCAGCTTCGAGGCAAGCGGTGATGTTCGCCGATGCGTCATACGTTGTGCTGAGTCCGGCGCTCCAGTTGGGATGGGTGCCCATATGTGTCAAGCTCGCGAAGTCTCGCAGTAAGAAGGGTCGGTGGATAAGCAACAGCGCATGGTGGTACGCCAGATTGAGCACCGAACGCTGCCGCTGGTAGACTGGTATGAGCAACTGGTTATCGATGCGATCTATCGAGGTCGAACCGGAGAGGAATCCTGACAGCGAATTCTTCCACGCGTGCAGTTCCGATGTGTACTTCGAAGACAGCTCGATGCGCAAAGCTAGGCTGGGCGGACGGATTGAGTAAAGATCTCGCAGCACGAGAGACACGATGCGTGTCAGTTTGATGTGCTCAACTGGGGCTGTCATCAAGGAATAAGTAAGTCGCGAGGGTAGGTTGATGTAGTTCGGTTGGAGATCGTTGTCGTTGACGATGGTAGGAAGCTCCTGGATTCATTGTTTTAGTGATCGTCAACTTCGATGATGCAAGACACACTTACTTGATCGATATCCTCGTCTTTAAAAGTCCGTGGTCGGCCTAGAGCAGCCGCGAGATACTTGTCCAGTGAGTATGCCACCCAAAACAGGCGTCTTCGGCTCTCGATCTCTACATAGTCCACCTTTGTTGAGGGATCGCATTTCCTTCCACGATTCAGGCCGATAGCGAAGGCGAGATGCGAGAGCTCGCCGAAGAGACTCCAGCAGTGGTTGATACGGGATTGTGTCAGGAGGTAGAAACATTGCAGCAGTCGTGCCTGAACGCTCGCTAGTCTCACGGCGCCACGTTCTTGCAATAGTTGCGCTTCGGCTGCGCGGAAGTATCGAGCGCTATTCGACATTAGCAGAGCCTACAACAGCGGCAGTGACAACAAACCTGCTAGTCTGCACCGTACTGCCGAGTGGCATATACGCTTGTGCTTGCGCAAAGACAACCATCAACAATGCAACTTTTGCTTTGCCATCTTCTTTACTTCTCATCTCGCCTTGGGTGTCATAGAACTCCTCGACGAGCTGCTCAATCGTTGGTCGATGAAGAAAGCGATGAGTCGGTGCCGCATAGTCGAAGTATCGCTCCACTAGCCTCTGCGCATCAGGCTTCGGTGGTGGGACGAAGATGGAAAGATCAAACTCAGGGAGAGGAGCGTCGCCAAAGGTGAAGATGGTAGAGTCATGCGACAAGGAAGAATTCGTGTGCAGACGCTTCTGAATACGGATGAGAAACGAAGCTGCGCTCGAAGAGCCAACATAGTGACCTTCTTGATCTCTTTGGGCTCCCTGGGGTACTGGAGAATCTCGCGAGGAAGGGCGATTGATCTGGTCGGTAGTCATGCCTAGAGCGTTTGATTCAGGGTTGTCAAGATTCGAATAACTCGGCGGGTCGATAGGAGTCAAAGGAGTAGGATAGATGCGTGGATACTGTGTTGTCGATATCGCAGTCTCTTCTTTGGCGGACGTCCCTGAGGCTAAGCTCTCTTTCCGTCTTGAGGCTAGTGCATCTGAAGCTATCGCGGGATCGTCGACAATGACAGAAGGCAGTCTTCCTCGAGTATACGACGCAGTGAACTCGCATGGCAATCCAGACCGCAGACAGAGCGCACAGGGGCATCTTCCGGTACATCTGACCTTTTTCCTGTTCTTAGCGTTAGCGCATCCTTGGAATCTATGCAGCACCGCATGTGCGCCCAAATTCTACAAGCTCACTTCTTACATCGGTCGCACGCTCTACTGACCCTACTCCTTTCACGCTCCTCTCTCCTTCTCTTTGCAGGTGGTGATCTCGGTTCATCCGAACTTGCGCTTGCTGGGGTCACAGTCGCGACTGCTTCGATGCCGTTGGCGGGTGTCCATCTAGCAGTCGATGCATGCTTCGGCTCCACGTCGGCAGAAGCCGTTCGAGAAGGATTATTCTCGTTCATGGTTGAAGCTACGCAGTTTGTCGTTCTTGGCTGCTGCTCAGGTTCAGGAAGTGGAGTCAGAAGTTTAGAGCTCGGATAAGAACATGATGAAGAGCCGGAAAAGCCGCACGCTAAACCCAAAAAGAGGAATTGCGCACGAGGCCTCCCAATGCCCGCAGAAATATGATGTAACGCGCAGAATAGAAATAGCGGATACTGGTTATCGTCATTATATCACTCGTTGTTGTGCTACCTTTCGTAATCAAACGCGATCTCAGCTACACACCGTGGTTCTCTTGTGCACCACTCACTCATAAGCCCTAGGCGCAAACTCGACATCCAACTCCCTAATCGTATCCCAACAATGCCCCAGCACAACCTTCGCCCGCGTCCTCTTCTGCAACCCCTTAATCATCTGATGACTCCTGACCCACGCATCATGATCCCTCGCCAACCACCCCTGGGGCACGCCGTCCGCATAGTTCTCCTTGACATGATACTGATCGCTCGTAAAGACCCACGTCCCACTCTCTTTCAAATTCACCTGCATGATAGTCAGTCCAGGGGTGTGTCCAGGAGCATGATGTAGATTGATTCCGGGGGCGATCTCGTAGTACGACCCGTGGAAAGGAACCCAGTTTATGTCGAAGGTGAGGTAGTGAGGAAGGTAGACCCCTAGATCTGTTTTAGTGGCGACGCTGTAGAAGGCGTGTTTTAGTTCCAGCTCGTGGACGTAGACTGGTACGTCTTTTCCTCTGAAATGCTCTAGGCCACCGGAATGGTCGAGGTGTAGGTGGCCTATTATAACCATTTTCACGTCGTCGATATCGTGACCGGTCAGGGCAATTTGTGCGTCTAGGTTCTTGGACGCGTCGTGGTCTATGCGGGTGAAGATATCTTGGATTGGTGGACCGACGTCTTCGGGGTAGTTTTCCCCCGCGCCGGTCTCGTAAAGGATGAGGCCTTCGGTTGGGTGCTGGATGAGGATGCCGAGCATAATCAGTTTACGGCGTTTGTTGGTCGGATTTGGGTTTGATGACAAGGACGCGTTTGCTGCTCGGATAAACCATCCGTCGTCACAATCCAATGTGCCCAGGTTCAGGACCTGATGCGTGTGGTATCAGATTTGGTGTAATTGGTAAAGAGGTTCTAGTGCGGCGTACCCATAACTTGGTTCCCTGGGTTTAGTTGTTAGTATATGCTGCGTCTCGGTAATCTTGATCGCCTACGTTTGGAGCCTGGTTGATGAGATCCAGAGAAGATGCCATGATGGATGACCTACTTAGACACGTCTGACGGGGAAATTCGCCTTTAAGAACCATTAAGCCAATACTCTATGTACAGGTATATCTTCTGTGCCAATCGCGTGCTGGTTGTCGCAGGTTGCCCACAGGTCAACGTAGAACCATCGTCACTGATTCGTGACGGGTAGGGAAGCGATGAGGGGTAGCTGGATGTATGCCCCACGGTTCACAGGTAAGTGGGGCTTCTTTACACATCCGGTGGTTCGTTTAGCACATCTGGGTAAATTAACGGAGTTGGTTGGCTGGGGTTGAGCAGGATGTGCTCGCTCTGAGACCCCGTTGCTGCGGCCGACGTAGATCTGTCTATGAGGACTGCGATTACCAGGATCACGTATTGTTTACATCACGAATACCCGATGTCTTGACTTTTGAGTCAGCCTTCAATTCTGCGGCACCTACTCGCGACTACACAGAAGCCGTCAGTGGTCCGACTGAGGGCATACAGACTGAACCGTTGTCCATTATACCATGAAGCCAAGCTCGCATGCACAAATGTATGGTGGACAGTGGCAAGTAAATGGGTACACAGGAAAGGTCAGGCGGAGAATTGTTTGAAGCGGAAAGAACGAGTTACTGTGCCCCCCATAGTCGACACGCATGGCGGATATGAACTGTATGGTTATAGTGAAGATACCCAGAGATTGACGAAGTGCCCAGAAAGCTGAAAGTGTAACAGAGATTGGACGTGCCCTGCGAGACACCCTTCTGGCTTCAAGAGGTAAGTGTGATGCCCTACTGTTGAGATTGATATTCTTGCCGAGTCTTCATTGACTCGTATGACGTCCCAATGTACTCACGGTTAGCAGTTTGAGAATTGTGACACTATGCCGCTAGGCGATTCGAGAAATATCGGAAAGCTGATAAGTGCAGGAACCTTCTTTTACCCTCCACAGCCACAGCGCTTTCCGGATCTCGTCAAGCGACTCTACTTTGTCCTCATGAAGCAGACTGACGCTTTGGCTGCACGTCGCACTGACGTAGCAACGCAATTGTCCGTGTAGTGCCGTAAGCACGTCTCTCGGAGTCCAAGCTGAAGTACAAATACGCGCGATATGCCGTAAGACTTGTACGTTGGCTAAGCCTGTGGTGGCTCAGACCGTAGTGTAGAAGATGTCAAATCTCAAAGCCACCTTCCTGTTAAAGCCACTGCGGTGAGACCGCCCTTGGCGTGTCGGACGAGATTACACGTTGCGCGGTCGTCGGCGTGGTAAGCACGAGAACGGCGTAATTGCCTGTGCAACTCGAGTAAGGAGCGTGCTCTCCTGCGAGCTCTTTCTGTATCGATGAGGCTCTTGCTCGAATTGAACCTCAGTCGTACGACAACTGATACGATGTCAGTTCAGCTGGAGAATGACGTCGGGTTGGTTAGTCGCAATCCACTTGGGAACCATGACCGGAAGGTTTATTGACGCGTGGAACAGCGATCGTCGCCGGGTTTTGGATTTTGTGGGGTGTTCAGACGGTTCCATGATTCAGCGCGGGGCAGCTTGAGATGAAACGTAACCAAAGGGTTATCTACGCGTCAAGAGTCCATAGGAGCGGCGAGGAAAGCAGTCCAATACGTTGGCGCGATGCGGTGAGTGGAACAAAGAAACATAGAATGTGGTGGTTGAGGCAGGTGCGGGCCGGCCAAGTGAGCGGGCGTCACCCTCCCACCGGGCGCGCTGGGCAATCTCCGGTCGGCAAGAGGTCTGGAGAAGGCATGCGACCCACGACCAGTCGATAGCGACGCCCCTTTTCTCCAGAAAAGTCGAGCCATGCCAGGGTCCTTTTTTGATCTCAGTGTCGTCGCATACGTCTTTGCTTTTCAATTGCACCATCTGCCATAGCATTGACGCTGTTACGTTGCTCAAACATAGCCCGGGAATACCTTCGTCGCTGCACTCTGGACCGCAGTCGCAAGGTGCTGTCTCGCCCCAACCCTTTCATTTCCCCTTCATTTCGCTTTGCAAGCCGCTATTCTCCCCGGGGACCAACTCTATGACCAGGACCAGCCTGCGCCTCACATGATGAGTGATGAGGCTGTGAATCCCGCTGGCCATGCCGCGGTGGAGACGTCCGAGGCCTCGAATCCGTTGTCACAGGTGCCGTCGAATGTACACAGCATCACGTCGACCAAGGGCCCCGCGTCACGATCATGGCTCAGCGGTGTACGCCGGCCACGCACTTCGCCAGGACCTCGCGCTTTCTCCCTGAAGCGCACGCTACTGAGTGCAGACGACGACCGCAGAGACTCGGCCTTAGCACCGCCAAATGGCACTACCAGCAACGAGCCACCTTCACCGAGCAGCCTGCGCAAGACCCCCAGTCTGCCTGCTATTGTTGTGCAGGATGAACGCGCCGCAGGCACCAAGAGTCAGGCGTCACAGCGGCAGTCACTCGACGCCGGCGCAACGTGCGAAGACGACGCCAACTTCTCCGGTATAGACACGTACATCCCCACTGGCAGCTTCGACGACCTCTCCTCGGACGCGCAGATATCCTTTTCGAAACGGGGCAGCATGATGTTGGGCGGCAAAAAGGCAAACAGGCGGAGTAAACAGATGGACCTCCTGGTGGAAGGCACGCCTGCACCGACCACACCACCGCGACAAAGGGAGCAGGCGCAACCCGCCGACTCACCCAAACCAGACCCCTCACCACCCGCTCCCGCCGCCACACACCTCTCACCGCGATCCACCTCACGCTACTCGACGCGAACTCGATCGGCCAGCCATCGGGTACTGTCGACCGACGAGATGACAATGTCGCGCAAGGTCCGCTGCATGTACGCGCATGGCAATGAGAGTGCTGTCAATTGGGATACACCTGAGGGCGAGACGAGCAGTGTCCAGAACAGCTACTTGGGCAACAGCGGCGTTACCAACACTCCGGCTAATGGCTCGTCGGTGGCCGCGGAGGGCAACGAGGACACCAGCTCGCTGATGAGCTCACGGCACGGAAGCGTCATTGTCAAAGAGCCTACAGAGGCAGCTGGTGGACTTGAGGACTGGGCGGATCTTGAGGGCGGAGAAGTCGACCGGTACGGCTTCATCATACCCAAAAAGACCAAATCGAAATCCAACGGCGATGGCCTCGACGGCCCCGACGAACCCCGCATGCACCGAGTCACAACAACACTACAACTGCT